TTGACGGCGGCATGGAGACGTGATGCCTCCATGCTGCCGTCAAGTCGAAATCGACATGCGAATCGATCTTCGGCTCGCCAGAGGTACATGCGGCGTTTCGGGCGACAACAGCGCTGCGACCGCGAAGTGGCGGTGGACATGCTCCCATGTCGCCGACGCGGCGCCGGAGTGGCCGTCGCTGCTCGCCACGACCACGACGGCTACTCTGATACTCCGGGCCGACCCGTCCTACCCGACGGTGGCACTCTTCCACGTCTCGCTCACGCTGAGAAAAATTCTGAGCCGTGCAGCAGAGTCGCCGACGAGTCGGTCCGCGTGCCTCCTCGTGTCGCGCATCGTTCTCACCCATCCATAAACTCACTTTGGCCTCACTGAAGCGATGCCTCAATCCTGAATCCTCAGATTTTAGATTAGGACGCTGTCTACCCTCTACTCCAAACGTTAACGGTAGGTAGGTAGGTAGGTAGGTGTTACCTCACACTGTCTAGGCAGAGACAAGGAGGGCCCCCGCACACACGAACCCACACATGCAGAGAGGGACGAGTGCACGCATTGGGCATCAGAGAGCCATAAGTGTTTGTTGTTGTTTGGCTTGAGCCAAGCAGGCACACCCGCGCGCGAGCGATTAGGCCAGGCCCGAAGCCTGACTCAAGCCAAGAGGCGCAGCGAAGCGCTAACGCGGGCCATCGTGGCCGCGGTGCAGCCCCGCACGGGTTTAGTGCGCGAGATGCGCTCGGGCGACGGAGGAGCCGGAGGCGGGCGGAACTCGGCCGGGGCGAGGCCTGACCGCGGAGACGGCGGCAGCGGCGGTGGGCCGGTGGCGAGGGCCTAGCCTGAGGGGGAGGGGCCTGGGGAGGGGATGAGGACGGTGAGGGCCCGTCCGGCTCTGAGACTGTAGAAGTACCCGCGGTCATCTATGATGCCCCGTCACACAAGTTGCGGCTGGCTCGGACTGGCTGGTGTGTGGAGTGTGGAGGCCTTGGCCTTGGCGCGAACGCGGATCCGGGATCGTATCCGACACAGCTCGTACGATTCGTGCCGCGGTTTTTCC